TTCCAGGCCCTCCAGGTCACTTGGGACCACCTGGAGGCATAGGTTTCCCTGGTCCAAAAGGAGAGGGTGGTGCAGTAGGACCTAAGGGACAACTTGGTCCAAAAGGTGAACCTGGGCCTCCAGGACTTCCAGGCAAGCCAGGATTCCCAGGAGAATTGGGGCAACCAGGGCCTAGAGGCTTACCAGGTCCCATAGGACCTAAAGGTGAAAATGGACACAAAGGCTTACCTGGACTACCTGGAGCCCCTGGAAAGCCTGGTGCAAAAGGAGAAGTTGGATTCCCAGGAGAAAAAGGTCATCCAGGGCCCATGGGAATCCCAGGATTAATGGGTTCAGCAGGACCAATAGGCCCACCTGGTCTACCAGGTCCAAAAGGGGAATATGGACCACCAGGGAAACCTGGAATGCCAGGCGAGGGAAAACCTGGGCTTTCAGGCCCAATAGGGCCACCTGGTATACCTGGACCTGGTGGGCCCCCAGGTCAGCCTGGAATACCTGGTCCTCCTGGCCCACCTGGCCTACCAGGACCTCCTGCTCAATCTCCATTTATTGGGCAAATCCTTCCTGAGACAGGTCCTGGGCTAGATGGGGCAAAAGGTGGTTATAAGAAAGAAAAGCCTGGAGGAGCTATTATTGGTAGGAATGGCATAGAGATGCCTGCTTTTACAGCTCAGTTGACAACACCATTTCCTCCAGTTGGGCAACCTGTTGTTTTCAACAAGATTTTATATAATGGCAACCAAAATTACAACTCTCAAACTGGCATCTTCACTTGCAAAATACCTGGAATTTACTACTTTGTCTACCATGTTAATTGCAAAGGAAACAATGTATGGGTGGCATTGTACAGGAACAATGAGCCAGTTATGTATACATATGATGAATACAAAAAAAGTTACCTGGATCAAGCATCAGGGAGTGCAGTGCTGCCCTTACAAGTTGGAGACACTGTTCATATCCAGTTACCATCAGACCAAGCTGCAGGACTTTATGCTGGTCCATATGTTCACTCATCATTCTCTGGATATTTGTTATATCCCATGTGAATTTGTGAAAAAAAAATCACTCGTATAAAATCAATGCTACATTTTTCTAAAGTAAACTGTATGTGCCATCAGTACAGAGCCACTTGTTAAGTTTGAATAGAAATGCATGTTTGTATGTTTTATGCATACACATAATTGCATAATTTTAAACAGTCTTACAGCATCTTACATTATTCGTTTATCCATATGGTTAGCACTTTGTTAGAACTCTTATCACATTATTTATTTGCATATTTCCTATTGTTTGACAGTATATTGATTGTATATTGATGGGGTCACACTGACTACATATCAATGTAAAATGATGTGATATTGACATAATGAAGAATGTTCAGATTGTTGGATATGCACTATATTTCTGCTGTCTTAGGGTGCTTTCACACCTGGCCCGTTGTTTCGGAACATGGCGCGTTTCCCCCCTTAGCTCGGTTCGTTTGGGCATATGTGAACACGGCAATAGCGCCCGGATCCACGCCAAAACAATCGGTCCAAGATCGCCTGAACGAGGTGGTCTCGGCTCGATTGAAAACGAACTCTGGAGCGGTTCGGTTGTAGTGAGAAAGCAGGCTATATCACAATGTATAATGGGTAATTACGTAAGTTCCGTGAAAAGCATTAGCTTTGTTGTTTTGCTAATACTTCAAAATGAACCTGTGAATGTCTGTGGGTGAGCACGTCTTTGCCATTCAAAATAAAAAAGCGCACTTTTTCATTTTAT